CATTTCTCCTCCACGGTTTTAATTTCGCAGCGCTCCGAATCGTGTAGTTTGTCGCAACATATGCATTTACTGCTAGCGATTGGAGCAAGATATTCATACCTTTTAGGCGAACTTTTTTCAAACTGTTTACTGCACTTGTTTACATTATCGTGAGCAGAGTGGAGACGATCATTTGATTATATGCCTCCAGTTATGAATCATTCCCGCTCGGTGTTTTGCTTTTGTTTCTCTACTTTCATTTAACTGCGTAGCTCTTTCGCGGCTTTCTATTTCTTTATGAATAAATTTCATTAATTCGTTAACGTTCCATGTTTGGTCACTGTTTCTACTGCGACTGTATTCTAATGTTATCTCTGATGGAATTAATTTTAGCAATATTGGGCAAAGTAAACTACCGTAAGTTTCTGATACCACATTCATTGACTTAAAGCATCTAATTTGAGTTTCACGCTGATCATATAAATTCCTAAGATTTTCTATATCCCTTACATTTCTAACAGGGGGAATATTTAACAGTTTATTCATGTGAGCATTTATTACCAAATCTTTTCTCCCAAACCTGCTAGTTAACAGTTCTATAGCTGTATCGTAGTTCTCATTTGTAAGCGAAAGTCAGGAAACGGCATTATAAGCTACCCCACCTAGTAATGACTTTAAGTAACTGAACTTATTTACTTTCGATAATGAGGCATTGTTATGGATAGCTGCCTCGAATTGACTCCAAATTCCTGCCAATTGCTAGAATCACCAAAAAATTTAGCGATAGTCAATTTTGGAAGGCGAATAATTTTATTATTTTCAAGTTTGGAATCTATAGTGGTTTTATTAGGATCCGAATTTTCAAGTTTGTGTAATTCCCTCAATTTTTTTCTTGTTATAAATTGCCACAGATAGATTTTTTCTTCATATTCTAGAGCGGATAAAACTTCCAAGTTCAAATTCATCCTCTGGGACCTTCAAATCCTGTTCTTTTTGAGTGTTTAAATCACTCAGAGTTTTTGCCTTTTCGTTTAATATGTTTAAAGTTTCTTCTATTACATTTATACTGACGTCATCTTTGCTTAATTCTGTCTCAATTTTCTTTAGTACCTTGGACACTGCGATCCTTAATACTTTGCGTTTCGATTTAAGCTTAGCGACAGGATCTTCCATAATTACTTTAAAATAGAAAACTTATCCTACCTTTTGCAGGCTTCGCACACTTCACACCATGCAATCCATATTGTCGAATATTAGCCGGCTTCCCCGGCATGTAGCACCAAAAAATGTTTATTTACGCACTTAATGTACGCTATTCGAATAACGAATGTCGCTGCCTACGCATCTAACTGTGAATCTAATGACGTATCTAAATGCCACATCTAAATTTTTGCAAGCAGTGGTTCAGCTGTAATTCTATGATCAAATACTCAATCTAGTTTTAAAAGGATTTATTAAAATACTAAAATTAATCTAATCTAGAATCGAATCTAATGTTACATCTCATGAGCAGCGTTCAAGCTGCGTCATAATGAATCGAAAGTCAAGTTTGTTGCCATTTCGAGGCAGAGAATTTCAATCAAACTGGAACATCGGCATAGCATACCTGCCAACTTTTACGAAAATGCGTTTGTTTTTACGATCGTAATCCATTTTTTTACGATTTTTTTCCTTTTTCAAGTGTTTTTAGTGATTTTTGTCGAAATTTTAGAATTTTTCGCCAATTGCATCGTGTTTTACCACCAAATACTGACTACTTCCAATCCAGTAACCTGCGGTTTCTCCCAACTCGCCGCTTAACCAGCTAATCCAATGCGTTGAACTTGTTTCTCCCATTCTTTTCCTTGTGGGCGCCAGATTATTTTCGCATTCGCTTCAGCAGCAAGGGAATTACTCAGCGAGCGTGGATTGTCGCAATCATATTCACAAAGCCTACAGACCATTTCTCTAAGGTCTGCTCTCATTGGATGAAACATCTGCTTGGCGGTCATATTTTGAATGGCGAGTTATCGCCCTGTAGGCGTGGTAATTAACGCCAAACAAACGGAAACAGCGTTCATTTCATTCGATAATTTTTTATTTTATGAATGAAAGCTAAGAGGAATTGTGTGGAATATGTTTTAAATAACCTACTAATCTTATTAATAGTTTATTTGTATTTGAATTTAAACTATTTAAAGTACGATAATTGTTTTGCAAGAAAAGGTTTTTAACATGGAAATGGCACGTGTACTTTTTCGTCATTTCTGTTAGAAAGAATCTATTGTGTAAATTTCCATAGCGCATTTATTTATACAAATAAAGGAATATTAAAAAATAAACCAAATGAAAACATTTAAGGGCGTCGGATACGTATTCTTTTTTACCTAAATTATGAAAAGTAAGTACACTAAAATTATATTTTATTCCATTATGCGCTATTTCTATTGAAACGCTTTTCGGGATCTTGGATCGTAATCTTGGCACTGGTACCTACTACAAAGAGTACAAACCAGTAAATAAAAATAAGAAAATTAACAAAAATAGAGAAAATAAAGGCGCTTAATTTTTAACACCATACCCAAACAAATAATGACGAAGTCGTTCAATAAAGTTGAAATTAAAAAAAATCCGTGTAGAGCAGAGTTTATGAAAGCTACGAACGGGCATAGAAACCGGCGATCTAGAAGTATGAGAACTTTTTCCGCGCTCGTTACCGCTGAGCTGCGGTTTCGCCGGCCAGTTATGCTTAATTTTTGATACACCACGCTTAAATTCTAAAGGCGATGAACCGAAAGTCGCCAAGCACTAGGTTCTGTAACCCTACGTTTCCTGTTTCAACCAATCGGAGCAAACAGCAGTAGAAACGGTCTGTAGGTTTTTTGAATAAGCTTGTCTTTTTTTTTTTTTTTTTTTTTTTTTTTTTTTTTGTTGTTGTTGTTGTTTGCACGTGCTATGAATTTTCTTAATACGTCGTTGTTACGAAATGAGTTCAAAAAAAACCGTGTTCTCAATATTTTCGGCCTGCCTGCAAAGCCGAATTTCCAACAATTAAAGAATCCTTCAAAGGAAATAACTATGCATTTTGCATCATGTGCGTGTGTGACTTCATAATAAGTCACGGTGGAAGAAGCGACATTGTGAAGCATGTTAAGTCTAAAAAGCATGAAGTTAATGCTTCGGCTTCGACAACGTCAAAGAAAGTGGATGATTTTTTTTTTTTCAAATTCGGTTACGAATTCGGATGCCGATGTCATTTTGGCAGAGTGTTTGTTTACTGCATTACTAATCGAACACAACGTGCCGCTAAGCGCTGCCGATCATGCCGGTCAACTTTTCAGGCGGATATTTCCCTACTCCAAGATTGCTCAGAAATATGCTTGTGCTCACACGAAAACATCTTCTATTGTGAATGAAATTGCTTGTTCAATGTGTTAGAAAGTACTTTTCCTCAGCCTGTGATTACATTAAAAGGAAGTTTCCTTTGCATAATGAAGTTCTTTTAAATGCTGAAGTGGCAAATTTGAAACAAATTGAAAATTCATCTTTTGAAAAGATTCGTTTTTTTATTGATAAATTTCCATTTTTGTTAACAATTAAAGAAAATGAATGCCATAATGATGCTTTAGATGAACTGCAGAACCAATTTTCTGCTGCACAGTTTGAAGACTTTGCCAGTTCTGGAGAAGATAGACTTGATGTCCTCATTGGTACCTTAAAAAGAATAAAAATAGCTGATGGAACACCAAAATATGATAAGACTAGCAAGAGTTTTATGTGCTATTCTCGTAATTCCACACAGTAATGCTGAGTACAAGAGAGTCTTCAGTGTTGTGAAGAAAAATAAAACTATGTTTCGCTCTTCAATTTCACCAAAAATTCCAGAAAACATTTTAATTGCTAAATGTTATGAGGAAACTAATTGTTATGACAGGAAATGTTCCAAAGAATTTTTGGCTAAAGCCAAAAAATGAACTCTTAAATTCATTGCAATAATTTTTTTGTGTAACATTAAGTTCTTGTTTTATGTTTCCTAATAAATTTTTTAGTTACTACTTAATTGAGAATTACTAATGTAAGTACAATTTTCTTTTTTCTATTTGTATAAATTGGGTTTAATCCTAGTATCCGGTTCACAAGGGATTTGGCTACTTTTGGATGGGCAGTAAACGAGACATATACGATGAGTAGGTAAACGCGTCATTTTGGTGTTGGCGATAATTTTCAAAATCGCTCCAAGGCTGCACCATATACTAGGATTTTACCATAAATTGTTATTTTTTTAATATCAGAGCATGATATTAATTCTTCGTGTTCTTCTGAATTTTGGAGAAATCTTCTGAATTTTTATCTTTAGAGGTTGGCAGGTATGGCATAGTGAAGGTTTCTAGTCAAACCGGAACACCATGTAAAACCGAAATCTTGTAAAACTAGGGATAGGTGTACTGCTATTAGTGTTGGGCTGTGGATCAGGTAACTCAACGTTTCTACTTTTCTCGATCAAAAATTGTTGTCTGAATCTTCAGTGTCACGTAGGAGAGCTTCATTCAATAGCTTCCTATGTCTATATTTCTTGTGCTGTGTACACATAAAAAGTAATTGGCATAAAATTATCCAGTAGAGGCAAAATATAAAAAAACTGCCAAATATAATTCAAGATTTTATTAAAGGAACTGGCCGTGTGTGTTTATAATTTCTGTTCTTGTAACCACAAATGCTGAGGAATGATCAAATTAATAAACGGCTGTGCACTGGAAAAATTGGTCCTGTCCGCTCTTTTCCATTAAAAGCACATTATGTAATCATTGTGATTATTAATTTATGTTTAAGCAAGTGTGTTTTCTAAAGGTATGGCAACATTAATCAAACATAGTAAAATAGCCTACCATTGACATTTAAAAATTTATGAAGCTGATTTTTCTATAAAGGGTTAAAATATTTGTATCTAATTGTTTGAGGAAAAAAAAATATTAACCGTTTTGGATAAATTTTTTCAACTCTAATATTTTACTAACAGTCATACTTATCATTTCCAACCTTAGGACTGTAAAGCAATGTTGTGGGATTTGAATGAAGGCAAGCATCTCTACACCTTAGACCATACAGATATAATTAATGCTTTGTGCTTCAGTCCAAATCGCTATTGGCTGTGTGTGGCAACTGGTCCAAGCATTAAAATTTGGGTGAGTTTTTGATGAATATTTTGTTTCTTGCTTACTGAAATATTTTGACTTCTGTGATTTCTTGTGAAGGCGTGAAATTATTGTCTTTTCCTATAATAAATTTTCACATATATGTTATGTATATTAACACGCCATTCTTATATTTTCATAACAGCCCTTCTTATATTTTCACATCTTAGAGAAATTAAGAAATCTAAATTTTCATGCTGCCCCTTAGTACCTTTCCTTTATATTTAGTATAAGTTATTTAAAAAATAAAACACAAAAAATGTGATGCCGGAGCACATACTTGAATGAGATATTTGACTTTGTTGCTGGCTTACTTTAAAAAATTGATTGATAAATTGGAATAACTCAACTCGTGTCTTTTTACCTTTAAATATATTTCAGTGATAATCTTTTGTTATCCATTAGTGTGTACTGTTCATGATTTTGTTACTTGTACTATGCTGAAAGAATTTTTGCAAAGTAATTTATAAGTTTTCAAACACTAAAATGTCATTAATTCTTGACCATATTAATAATTATGTTACATCGTGCTTAATATTTTCCCAAAATTTTATTATTGTATGATCATAATCTATTAATTATATAAAAATTCATTTAACTAGAAATATTTTTCATTAATTAATGCAAATAAGAAACATTGTCAGGCTTCAGCATCGGCATAAATTTCAGTAGTTGTTTATTTACAATCTGAATTAGGATGAGAGAAAATATAAGCAAAACTCAGAAAGACTATGTGTAATTCACTGTCCTTGGTCTCTAGGTATGCAGCTTATTGGGAGTTTTGTCATGGTGTGTACAAAACCAGAGTTCTATATGTGCATGTGTATTTAAATATAAAGACTTTTTATTTTAAATAAAAATTACATCTTTGCATCCAGATAAAGGTTTAGTCGGGAAAAGTGGGAATTGCCAAAAGAGACCAAAAAAAAAAAAAAAAAAACTATTGATCCTTTTTAAATAAAATTGTAAACTATTTTTTTAAAAATAAACAATCATTAAGTAAGGCTTTACTTACTATGAGTGTGTGTTTGTGTATATATATGTAATAACATTGTCATTTTTGTAATATGAAGACTTGGTGAGAGTTGCAATGGATTGGGCAGTGGTTCTCTGCATTATAACTTGAAGAGATTTTAATCTGTTGCTTAAAAACTGCAACAGATTAAAATCTCTTCAAGTTATAAAAGTTAGAAAGATGACACTCGAAGATCACACATAGCAATAAGTTCCACACATAATTTTATTTCTGGGTAGTGCTTGTTATCACTGTGGGTGTGCCATGCACCCCCACTCCAATTTTGTAGCGCTTACATTCTTAGAGAATGGACGAAATTTAGAAAAGTAAACTGTGTGGCTAGCTGCAGTGAAAAGCGAAGAAGAAGGGGGAGTTGCGACCCAATTAAATTTTTGTACAATTTCAGATCACATGACGGAGTTTAATGTAGGGTTCAGATTTTATTGGTAAGTATGCATCAATTTATTGCTGTTGTTTTTAGAATGAAAATGGAAGTTAAAGGGCTATTATTAATTTATTATTTGAAAGATTTTGCAGGATAGATATTTTACATGTATACAAAACAAGATTTGAAGGAAAGTAGTTAAATACCACTTAATGTCATACACAGTTGATTTGGTAAAGAATAAATTAAAATATATACAGTCAAAAGTCGTTAATCCGGACTCGTCGGGACTTCGACGATTCCGGATTATAGATCATCAGTTTAAATCTCGTAAGATGGCATGCAGAAATTCTAAAATTAAAAATATGAAACCGTAATTTATGAAATAAAGAACAATTATGATCTAAAGGGTATCAAAATTTACAAAAAAAAAAAAAAAAAAAAAGGTTAGTATTTATTTGTTTACTTTATTAAACATTTCTTTTATTGTAAGTTGTTTAAGTTGCTTCATTTTATGTGATAATAGTTTCTCTTTAATTCTATAAACAGACATAATTTCTTGTTCAGTTACAAAGTTCCGCTGTTCAAGTCCCATAATTTCTGTGCAGAGAATACCGACTAACTTGTCAATCGAAATTTTTTCGTTTTCACTAACCTCTCTGTCACCTTCTTCATGTCTTTATCCATTTTTTGCAGCAATTCCACTTTTTGTTTGATAGACATTGAAACATACTTTCGTTTTGTAGATCCTTTGGGAGCTCCAGCATCGGAAATTCTATTTGACATAATCGAAAGTTTAAGTTTACTTTTATAAAACTGCTCTTACAGTCTGCAAAAAATAATAAGCCGTATCCAATTTGAAAATTAAGGTACAACGCAATCATCAACATTAACTGAAATAGATAATTAGATAATTTTAGCTTATACCGTCCGTTATACATTAAACGCGCACGCGAAAACGTATTCTGCACTTGCGCACACGCATATGCGCGATCGTAAAGGTGTTATGCGCATGCGCAGAAAGTTTTTGGCTTTGAGGTCTGGATTATAGATCATTCTGGATTAAGGGTGTCCGAATTAACGACTTTTGACTGTATCTACCAAAGGTGGCAAACAATTTAATATGTTAACAGAACAAATAATTGTTTATCACTATATTGGGTGTATAGTCTAATCCATTTCTTGCTGGAAGTGTGCATAGCCTTTGAAGTAGTTCTGATATTTGCACGGGGAAGTTTTTTGTCCAATGTAAAAGATGAAGGAAGATCGAAACATACAATAGGCACTTTACAATGCTTTTCTGTTTAAATCTAAAGATCAGAATAAAACAAAGCACAATTCTAATGAACAAATTATTATCAGTAAACAAGTAAATACAAAGAAAAATAAATGTTGAATTCCGTCAATAATCTTCAAACTTCCTCATCTATAATCCCAGATCATTTTTGTATAAATTTGTTTCTAGCTATGAGCAGGCGTGAGTACCATTTTTATTCTTATACATGTCAAAGATTTTATTATTTTTAAATATGTAATTTAAGATGCACATTTAGAATTCTTTGCAATTCTCTTGTGCTCGGTACAAAGCAACCAACTAAAATCACAAAAAATTGAAGATTTTTACATTGTCAGTCTTTTGCAAACTATAAAAATGCCTGATTTTTTTTAAATCTTTCCTCGTATTTAAAATAATTTGTTGGGGCCAAAAAAGACTTAGTTGAATGAAAGTTAAGTTAATCCTTGGTTTTTGTCAAGGAGTAGCCGATGGAATTATCAACAATGTATGCAATGAATTTTAAAAATAAGTATTCAGTTCAAAATTAAAGTGATTATTAGTTTTGAGTAATAAAAAGTAGTAATTTTGGAATACTGGAAATCACATCTGGAAAAAGCAGAATTGGCAATGCATTGCAAAAGAGCTTAGAAAGTCAATTATAGTTTTTTTTCAGAAAATTTGCTGAAAATTAATAAAAAGAAAAGGGCTAAAAGCCAAACACTTATTTATGGAAATGTTTCAGTTTTAAAAAAAGATATGTAAAAAAGCTTTTTAGAAAAAATGAAAATGTTTGTCTAGAACCTAATGTCTAGAAATTGTGAACAGAAATGTGCAATAAAAGCTAACAATTTTGCAAACATTGAAATGTGCAAAAACAACAATGCAAGTTATTCTTGCATTTATGAACATTTCAAGTGCTTTTGGAAGTTTTGTTTTTTCATGTAGTTTTGCTTTTCATGATCAACTTTTTTATTAGTTACTTGAACAGTTCTACCAATTTGATATTCCTAGATACTTTTTTTTAAATTAATAAAATGTAAATGTAACTTGAGATAATTTTCAATTCATTAAATACTTTTGATACAGATTTAATTCAGAAGCATGGCTATCCTGATAATTCTTTCAGCTGTTCCTTAACAAAGACTTTTTTTTTTTTTTTTAATTTTGTGCTAATGTGCTTCTGTTTCATGTTGATTTTTTGGTTGTGCTTCCTAATGAGCAGATGCTTGCCATCTTTTACATGTGTATCTGAGGAATCTGTTAACATTGTAAATACTTTGTAAAATCTTTCAGCATTTTCCTGTATATTGTTAAACATTTTCTACTGTGCTTACAAATACTTAACAAATTAGTAAATTAGTAACTTATGTGTAGATTCAGAATTATGAACCATATTGTCTGCCTCTTAAAAAATTTGCATTGAAGATTTTGCAACTGCAGTGAAGTAATTAATAAATGAAATAATTTTTCCATTATTAACCAACTCCTTGCCGTTTTAGGATTTGGAAGGCAAGAATATGGTAGATGAACTACGACCAGAAGTCATCACTAATAGCACAAAGGCCGAGCCTCCTCAGTGTATATCTATGGCATGGTCTGCAGATGGACAAACTTTGTTTGCAGGTTATACAGATAATACCATAAGAGTATGGGCTGTGGGCATGAATGCAACTCGCTAATGTAAGAAAGTGGAAAAAACTAAATAAAAAAATTATACCAGTTACTATATTTTGTATTCTTTTAGGAAGTCAAATTGCAGTGTTTAGCTGTCATAATATAATTCACTTCATCCAAAAGTCTTATTGCAAGCAAAATATATGTATTTTTAATGTAAACATAATGTAATACCATAGTATAAAATCCACCTTTAAGTTTTAATTATCTCAAAAAATAGTGACACTCAATTTTAGTTTGAGATTAGTTTAGAATTAAGAAGCCAATTGTAAAATTATTTAAAATTTTATTTTGTAAGTTTTGCAGTTGTACCTGTGTATGCTGGTACAACTGTATGTCATGCTGCAATGCAGTGATGGAACATTGGTGAGGCACTTGTTCAGGTGAATAAGTAAAAGAGGTGCCATATTAGCTATGAAAATTTAGAAATTCATTTCAAAGAAGTAATCATATTTGGAACGTATCAAGATGTGTCAAAAGAATTGGTCGTTATAAAACAATCCAGAGAAGAGTTGCCAACTCTCCCAATTTCTGGCCTCACTCCTGCCAAGCTTGTTTTATAGCATATTTCTCTTATTCTTAAAATTTCTGATGATGTTAATGTAGTTTGGCTTGAATACTTCATTATCTGCACCTTAAAAAGGGATATTTGGTATTAGATTTTTTTTTTCCCCCTCCATATTGCATGTAAAAGAAAACAAGGCATTTCAACGGCAAGATATTATGGTGCGCTTATGCTTTGTGTATATGAAAGTGCATGTGTCCAAACACATTGTCTTCCAGTTCACCATTGAGCAACAAGCATAACTGTGGGTCATCTGGCTTATATTAACCAATGAGCACAAACCAAGATCGAGGTTTTTACTCACAGCCTTGTTGTTACTCACAGTTTTCATCTCGCAGATGGGCATTGTGAGTTTCATGTGCTTTCAAGAAATATTTTACGAAATTGCAATCTTTTGTCTTGATTATATCTTCAAAACAAGGAACTAAAAATGCATATTCTCTTTACTGCCTCAACTGCACATGACTAATAGCCATGCCTCGCTGACTCTTGCTTATACCCTCAACAAATTATGTTTTTTAGTCAAGCACCAGATGCCTTACAAGATGTTGAACTGCCCCCACGCTCTCATATTTTTCTCTCTCCTTTTTACTACATCATTGCTTACCGTATTTCACAACTTGTATATCAAATGCTGTCTTTGATCTTCTGAACTGTGTTCTGGAGGTATATCTTAGTTTTGATGACTTCATGGCTTATGAAATAGCCTATGCTTTTCCTCATTCTCCTGTTAGCCAAAATTCTACATTATGTTCTCTTGCTGTTACTGAATATTTGTGCATATGTTTTTTAATCGTTTTATGCTTTTTTCATGAATTGTCAAAATGCCATTATTCGCAAAAGAAATTGCTTCTCACACCAAAATATACTACTACATGGCATAATGGGTTCTAATCTGACTATTGGATCTAGCTTGGGGTAAGCAATCATGTGGCTTCCATGATCGTTCATAAATGGACTACGATGATGTCAACTAGAAGTGCATCTTTTTATAATGTTCTTGAGTTTCCAGTACAACTTAAAGACAGTTTTACCAGTGTACACTGATGTAATGAAGCATTTTCTTTGGATCAAAAATTGTGGAAAGGGGACAAGAGAAACCTGTCAGTCAAAGATGTTAACAAAATAATTTCCTGTGTCATTTCAAGTTTTGGGAAGAAAAGCTCCATACTTCAGTTATCTGAGGTAAGTTCCTCTGGGAAATGTATCTAAAGATAATCCAGCTAGTTATTGATAGGAGTAAGTTGCGGAGAGAACGTCCTAAGGTATGGTCTCTTCATCCAATGCTACACGAATAATAGTCTTTGTATGGTATCTACTTTGATAGAAGGGAAAACACAACTTTATTGTATGAGAAGAAGGGAAATTCTTTTTGCAGGATTATGGCTGAGAAAGAGCATATTGTTCTCTTTTCAGAACATGGTAAGACATGTAACTCCGGATTTGAATCGAGTACAGATATTACATAAAGCATCACCAACAGTGTTGCACAGAAAGGGATTGAACTTTGCAAACTGGTTACTGTTGGGTGTGATGGAATGAGCATAAACACTTGGAAGAAAGACTACTTAATTAGATGTCTTAAGATTTTTGTTGGTCATAAACTGCATTGGTTTATATGGTTGTTGCACACCAATGAACTGCCTCTTTGTCATCTTTTCCCGAAGATTGATTCAAATACTTCTGGGATACAACAGCTTTCTGGAACAATTGGAAAATCTTTGAAAACATGTGAAACCTTTCCCATTACAGGTTATGTCTCTGTTCCAATGGATCTATCTCAAACTGATAAAAAGACCTCAGTACCAAAAATACCTTCTTGATATTTTAAGGCAGTATCCTCGGGGAAGTGCTCTTCAGACCTAGCAAACAAGAGTCCTGGAAAATGGCCCATTTGAGATAGCTTAATACAGCTAACAGAATTCTTCGCCTTTATGTATCAACTGCTGAACCAACAGTCAGCTGGAAGCTACTAGCTGAATATGTTATAAAAGTTTGTGTGTCATCCTGGTTTGAAATAAAGAAATTTCCAAGAGCAAGTCATGTTTGTTGAATGATCTAGAAAAGTTCATTTTTGCTAGACATTTTTAAGGCAGTGATTCACAAAATTATTCAGAGGAACTGTTATTTTTTCACTCTGAAAACATCTTGTTGGAAGTGAACGGGTATGAATTTGTGAACTAACTTGGTGTGAGAAGATAACTGAATGCAAGAAAAACTTACTGGTAGGGGTAAATACTGCAATTTATGTTTCCCAAATTGAATTTCAAAGCAGAGGAATATTTTGAGATGATTCGCTGGGACAATCCCTTGGAATCACCACCTGTCTTAAAAATTCAGTGACAAAAGTATAAGATTGGTTAGAGAAGGTTCTCAGTTTGAAATAGGAAAGCTCTCTTGTCATTCTAAAGTAGCAGAAAGTCGTGTGACACTGGTGATAGAAGCGTAATTGGCAACGTATGGTGCAGAAGCCGGTAATGGATTCACACGTAGTCGAATCAACTCGCAGAACGAACTTACAAAGTTCAACACCAAGGTGAATTTCTTTAGTTCTTTTGTACAACCTGAGGATGACGAGTGATAAAGCTGGAACTTTTTTAATGGCATTTTTTTTTTACCAATTAAAACTATATGTTGGGTCAGGAAACAAAATTGTTGTAAAAAAATATAGTTAAAAATACTTTGATATTTTCGTTAACTTTTTTTTTTTTTTTTTTTTTAACCTCTTGTAGACCTGAAGATGACAAGCAATATTTGAACTCTATTTAGTTTTGAAGATGATATTAATGTCACATCTAATAAATTGCAGTCACAGTTTGTAGTTTACAATTAGAAAATTTTGATAAAGTTATAAAATCAGCAAGGATTGATACCAGTTTGAGTTTAATGGGAAAACTGAAAGTTGCGGATGGAATTTTAAAAGTGCAGTGAATTGTCTAGAATAGGTGACTCAAACTCAAATTTCATGCGAGCCCAAGCACAATCTAAAGGCAGCTGAGATGCCATATTGTTAAAAAATTTCAATTTCATATTTCATTTACTAAGTATTTATCAAAACATACATAAAATGCAAATGATAAAATACAAATTTTTATCTTTCATATTTTCCATCTGTAACCAGTTTCTGTTGATTACATTTTGTAATTCAAATGTGCTAGCAGCTAAACATTAAATTTTTGAACTGACATTTATTTCAAATAATTCTAATATAATAAATTAGCATTAAATAACTTGCTTTTAACAGACAGCTTAAAAAAATTTTTAATTTTTTTTTATTTATTTATTTAAAGTAAAGTATGAAAACTTACCAAATCTTCAGAATAAAGGAGCCCGCAGTGGAACAAAATTTGCGAATACATAGCAATAACCTATTCTTTTTATGTGTTTTGTTATCGACACAAGCAGAAAAATACATTTGATTAATGAAAGTAATTATACAGTTGTCTGTTTTTACTACACACTTATTGGCATATTGAGTTTGACAAAAATTACTAGAAACTGATTTCATTAAGGATTATAGATGCTCATTGTTCAGTTGGGCGCTTTTGTTACACTTTGTAATATTCAACTCCCCCCCCCAAAAAAAAAGAACTGTTCATGTGTTAATCTACTCTCAAACAGAGCAGTGGTTGCAAAAATTCACAACTGAGAATATTTATGGACAAGTACGAATAAAGGTGAATTACACCTTTCAAATGTGATTTTCTAGTATGTTATTCACGCCCTGTTTTAATAGTAATGAAAATAATTGAAAATTGGATTCCAAATTCTTTAATTCTTTCTGACTTTAAACTGTAATATTGCAGTTTTTCTTGCATGTTCTTGAGATTTTGTATTTGACATATTAGGGTAGTCTTTAAAACAGAAATGGGCAAAAAATTTTATATCAATTGTGTTTCCCATATTTGCAATTTAACTTTATAACTAGTGAAAGAAAACATGTCAGTGATAAGTCTATCTTTTCCTTGCAGCTCTTTATTGAGACTATTTAAAGTCCCAGTTAAATCAGCAATAACTCCTGATTTATCCCAATTTCCAAACGTACTCTTCCTAACCCGATTTTCAACATAGTTTGCCTGTTCTTAATTTTTTTTATTTAGCTTTTTACTATAATACTTAAATTCTACTAAATAACTTCGTTATTTGCACCCAACAAAGTGATTTTTGTCTTGTGAAAGTATATGGTTTTTCTGTAGATTACATATTAAAGAAAAAGAAAATCATTTTATCATTGAGACATGCTGCGCTTCTGCTTTGTGTATGTATCTAAAATCAGTGTTCCAATTCTCCAGCCAGCATCAAACACTGCTGTGGGCCATATGGCATATATTAAGACATTGAGCGCAAAGAAAGATCAAGGTTCTTATGTCATTCGTTTCGCCGCTGGGTGCTGCGAGTTTAACATGCTTTCAAGATATATTTTGAGAAACTGCGGTCTTTTATCCAAGTTAAAATATTCGTGTACTTTTCAAAAATCCTACACAG